TTCCCAGGCCGTTTCCTTTCAGACCCAGATACAGTACCCTCTCAGGCCTGTCCTGTCCCCGCCTCAGCCCCAGGAACTGGAATAACTGTCCATCTTGGTAGGACTTTGGCAAATGGAGATTAAGGAGGGTTGTCACCTCCCTGGCAGTCTGGAGCCATCCCCTGACTTAACTGGTGGGCCAGCAACGACAAGGGCAGTGGCGCTGAGAGCCCCGTGGCAGGGGGTCAGTGCTTTTCAGAATCACGTGGGGACGCTGTTGAAAGTCAGGATTCCCGCAATCAGGTGCCCCCTCCCAGTGGTGGAGGAGCTGGCAGTGGGCTTGGAAACAGGGCTGATAATAAGCACCCTTAACGCTCCCAGCAATTCTGAAACAAAACCACACTGGAAAAAAATGCTGTTCTGGGTTTTCACCGAAGTTTCCCTGGGTTCCAAGTACCCAGGGTTTAACCAGGGTGGTTCCATTTTGACGTCTTTTATATCAAGGTTCTGTGTTTAGATTTCTCCTGAAGGAAGCTGGAACTGTGCTGATGGAAGCCTACCCACCCAAGGTTCTATAAACTACAGAGCTGCAAGTGGCCTGGTTCTGAGATGACTTCTGTCCCCATTAGGTGGGCTTAGAGTGCCTGGGGTCAGGTGACAGAGGGGACAAACCCTTCCTGGCTGCTCCTGCCCCTCTGCTTGGCTTCATGGCTGCAAAGAATTCCTCTGACCCAGTGGCTGCTCTTGTGCGGGGCTACCCTAGGTGAAAGGGGGAGTGGGCATAGAAGGGGTCTTGGGGATTGGCATCAGGCAGGGTATTGCCTGCCTGTGAGGGCACGTGTTACAGCCCAGCCTGTGGGAAACCAGGAAACAAACTGTGTGGGAGAGAGAGAGAGAGAGAGAGAGAGAGAGAGAGGCTAGGATTACTGCGTGGGTGGGTATGAAAGTGAAAGAGATGGGGAAAAGGACGGAGGACAGAAAGTGGTTCGGTTTGTACGTGGGTGTGTGACAGTGGGTGTGTGGAGTGGATGTGCCTGAGGGAGAGAGTGTGTGCATGCAAGAGAGACTGCAAAGTGTAAGTATGTGAGCAAAAGAAAATGGAGAAAAGAACATGCTTTTAATTTGTACCTAAGGGAGGGAATATGTGTGCTTGTATATTTTCAGGTGAGTCTTCTGTATGCAAATCTGATACATGTGTCCACGTGTGAAAGTTAGGCATGCATGGCTGGGGGTGGGTCTATGGGATGGTGTGTGCCAATGTCTACCCCGTGGTGTCTGAGAGCATGCACATGTGTGCAGGTGTGAGCATTTACATGTGAGTGTTTGCAGAAGAACATGGTGTGTGTACATCACGTGTGCATACACATGAGTTTGTGTGTGTGGGGTGAACATATATATGTGGGGACATGTGTAAGCTATACGTGAACCTGTGAGCCCTGCTCCTACACCGTCACTCCCTATTGTAGACACCTTACCTCTCTGTCTGCCCTCTTTTCCACTGGCCTGAGGAGCAGTGGCCTTGTCCTTGGCCCAGTGACCACTGTCAGCTCTCATCATGGGTGCTGATTCCTCTGCCTCAACAAGATAGACATGGCCAGGGGCAGGGCTCCCCTGACAACCCAGATCTGCAACCTCATCCCCACCCCAGAGGCTCAGAGCTGTGTCCACTAGAATTGGGAAGTTCTCTAAACCCTCCAGATACCCTGGACTCTCTAAAACAAATGGCCTGGAGAGGAGGGAAGGTGGGTCTCCCGAAGCCAAGGGCAGAGGAGGCGCTGAATCGGCAGTGGATCCCAGGTCTCCCTGAGTATCTCCAAGGAGGAGGGGATATGGCTTGGCAGAATCCCCCGTCATCTCCCAGAGCCTGACCATTTTCCCAGCCCCAGGTGGGTGGAAGAACACAGCCTGCTGGCTTGTCTCCATGGAGACAAAGCAGCATGGAGGGTGGTTAAAAGCATATGCCAGACCTCCCGGAGCTCAGATCTCACAGCTCCTCCACCACCCACAGGCCTGAGACTTTGACAAGTCACTTAAACTTGCTATGCCTTAGTTTCCTCGTCTGTGAACAGAGATAAGAAAAGTATGAACTTCACATGGTTGTTTAGAGGATGAAATGAAATAACCCATATAAAGCATTTAGCACAGGGCCTGGCAGTGGAACTGGGAGGTGGAAACCCTGGGTTCCAACTCTAGCTTTGCTACCAACTTACTGTGTGACCTTGGACAAGTCGCTTACCATCTGTGGAATCTACACAGTAATCTCAATAAAAGCTGCCAGTTATGACCAGCTGAGACTTTGTGGGAAGGGCAGCTGTAGTGTGGGGCTGTCTTGGTGAGCTGTGGACTAAGCGCCACTGATGAGGGGCCCTACGTGACACTTTCCTTCCCACATGTAATTCTCTCAAGGGAGCAGCAGGTGATGGCAGGCAATTTGAGCTGCAGGCTGCTGCCCAACTCATCTCTTCGCGTCCCCTGACCTTCCAGCCTGCCATGAACCCCACTGTGCCCTACTAAGTGGTACTCAGGCCTTAGAGATATGGCACTGGAACCCATCCACCCCAAGTGGTGAATGCCCAAGGCAGACGATGCCATGACCCATACTTACAAGTGCCAGAGAGCACTCAAGAGAGGCAGGTAAAATTGCAGAAGGATGGGTGTAATTGTCTGAAGATGCTTATAATCCTCTGGCGGTAATGGGAGGAAGCTTTAAAAGGAAGCCCTAATCCACTAATAACCTGGCAGCTCCACAGGCCTCTTCCCTCCGGATCTCCAGGCAGAGAGAAGGGACTCTGGCCACTCCCTTTCCCAAGGGAGCAGAAAGGCCAGTGTGGGCTCTGTCCCAAGACCACCCAGATTTCCACTCTCCTGCAAGACCCAGCTTCCTTCCTGCCTCCATGTCTGAGAAGTCCTCCCTAACAATTCCATCCTCTTGAGCTCTCTCCTGCCTCTTCTGTCCCTAGAACTGTTCAGGACAGAACTAGATAACCATCTGGCTAGAAAGAAATGAAGCAAACTGTGAGGCAGGAAGAATGAGACCGCAGTCTCAGCTCCAACACTGACTGTGATCTTGGGCAAGGGACTTAAGTCCCTGAGCCTCAGTTGCCTCACCTGTACAATGGGGAGAATACTGCCTGCCTGGAAGGCTAGAGTAAGATCAACAAGAATGAGATACTATGCAATGGGCCAGCTGCACTGAAAAGCCAACAGAGGGCCTTAGTGGAAGGCCCTGCTTCTCCCCTCTCCATACATGTCTCTTCTGCTCCAGGATGTCAGCAGACAGCACTCTCCCTGTATAAATCCTGAATATAGTGGTGGCCAAGAGCAAAGCCCCACATTCAAAATGCCGTGACTGAATCATAGCTTAGCAGCTTACTGGTCATGCGTCTTGGACATGTCACTTATCTTCTCTGGGCCTCAGTCTTCTCATCTGTGTAATGGAGAGAACAGTATGTCCCTTATGGGGATGGTTATTAAATGAAGTGATATGTGTAAAGCTCTTAGCACGGTAGACTTGGCACAGAAGGGCTTAACAATAATAGCTGTTGTATCGTTGAGCTGGTGATGATCATTTTAATTATCATCAACATCCCTTACATGCTTGTCTGGATTACCCTGCAACCTCACCATAGCTCTGTGAGGTAGATAGGGCTCTTATTTTTATTTTGTTTTCACAGATGAAGAAACTGGGAAGGGATTTCCTGGGGTTTGGCTAGTTGGCATCAGGTCCAGAACCAGCACGCATGTCTCCTGACACCTCCTCCCACCATGGTCTGTGAGAGGAAGAGAAGCAGGTCCTGGGGGCTTCAGGCTCTAGGGGACCTGGATTTGGGCTGACGCTGGTGAGAAGGCCTGTCTCCAAGTTCAAGGCTGCCGGATCCTCCTCCTTCCTGCCCCAGATGCACTGAAGGCCCCTCCTTACTCCTGCCTGGCTCCCTGCATGACCCAAGCCTGGGAGTAGGGGTGGGGATGGTGGCCTTGGGGGCGGGGAGGTGGTCAGAGCCTGGAGAGAATTATTTCAGAAAAGAGAGTGGGCAGGAGGGCTGGTGAGATGCCAGGCTGGGCGTCAGCGACGCCTGCACAGAAATGAAGTGCTCCTTCAGTTCCTGACGCACAAGCCCTCCCAGGCCTGTGTCCCCCGCACACCCTGCGCCCCCAGGATATGCTGGCAGCGGCTTCCGCCTAGGCAAGCATGGCCCGGCTCACGTCCTCCCCATCTGGACCCACTTCAGTGTTGCCGTGGGCCCGGCAGTGGAGGTGATTCAGTGTGGGTTTCCCTGTCCTGCCCTGCCCTTCCAACTCCTGCCGCCTGTGGGAAATTTATCATCATTCCTTCCTTCCTTCCGTGCAGCTCTCCCCAGCCCTGGGCCCTCACTGCAGCCCAGGTGACATGGGCCCTGTCTCTGTCATTTCTAACAGATGGAAAACCCAGGCCTGGGTGAGGAGTGAGGGCTCAGCTCAGCCACAGACAGGCCAAGTGACCTGGAGCAGTCTCTTCCTGACCCCGGGCCTCAGTTTTCCCAGCTGTCAAATTAGGAGGTTGGATTAGATCAAAGGCTCAGTCTTTACCTCAAAAGCTGCGCGAGCACGGTGACCATGTCTGTTTCGCTCAGTGCTGCAGCCCCAGCACCCTCAAATAGCTGGTGCTCAACACATTCAGTGAGGTGGCCCCGCCCCATCACTTGCTCAAACTCCAAGGTCATTTGTTAGCACGAGTGATTAAAGGGCAGACAAGAGTGAGAGATGGACTTTTTTTAACCAAGCATGATAACGTGGCTTTCTCTCTCTGCCTTCTCACGTGCCCTCTTTGGCAGAGAAGAGTGGACTTTGCTGTGGTACAGCTGGAACAACACGTGTGGCACCATCTCCCCTGTCTGTCCACAGCTGTTAATCTGGGCATGCCTGTGCGGCTCTGATGCACTGTTACGTGTCATGGGAAAGTAGGGTCAGGAGCCCCTGTGTTAAGGACCTATGGGGGTCTCCTGTGACTCTGGCAGTCCAGGGGAAAAGGGACATGCACTTACCTGGTTTCTGGGCAACCCTGGGCCCAAGGCTGGGGCTGAGGCTGGCTGTCATCACCTGCCGGGCCTTCATCGTGTCCCAGTCCTGGCTGGCTCTGTCGTCATGCTGGGAATCCCCTCGTGCCTCCCTGGAACAGCTGGGTGGCTGGAGGCCCAGGGCCCTGGGAAGCTGTGGTGCCCCTTGGGTGGCTCTGCAGGCATTGTCCCCGCTCCTGCTGGCCACCCTGTCTTCCTCCAAGTCCGTGAGCCCTGCCTCTCCCAGCAGGCCCTCCTCACCGCCGCTCTCCTCGGCCTCCAAGGCCAGACACCTGTAGCTCCCATCAGGAATCCCAAAGGTGCAGGGGGTAGACCTGCCTTCACTGGGTCCCAGGGGCGGGGGTGGGAGGTGGGGGCCCAGCATGGCTCTGCCTGTCCTGAGGGACGCAGAGAAACTGATGCCCGGGCCGGAGTCGCCTGAGTGAGCCCTGGTCTCTGCTCCTCTCTGGCTGTCTGCAGCTCTGTCTCCCTCAGTCGACTCACAGAGCTGGGGCGAGGTCCAACTGTGAGACTTCCTGGGCTGGGTGGGGTGGTGGACCCCCAAGCCCTCCTTCTTCACCGGTTTCTGGTCTGTGAGAATTCACTTCAAGGTGATCTGTCTGCAGGGGCAGAAAAGAAACAGCACATAAGACAGTGCACCGGGTGTTCCTGGCTGAGTTTCTGAGATCTGTCCACTTTAAGGGGATCCTGAAAACTGACTGGGGTTTAGGGCAAGGGTTTCTTGTGTCCACAGGAAAGTCCGGAGCCTCAGTCATTCAACACCCCAAATTTTTGCCCTATCCTTGTGCCACCTGACACTTTATTTGCTTAATATCTTTCTGTAAATCAACTTTAAATAATTTACTTCTATTACTTTAGACTTATCTTAAACAGTAATTGCAGCTATGTCGTGCTAAGTTATTTCCCCTTCAATGTACATTAAGTAAGTATCTGGTTATTTAAAAATACTTATCTGGGCATCTCCTAAGAAATATTCTTTTATGTGTCGCCAAAGGTACATATGCCACAGGAATGGTGGTGCAGGTGGTAAAAGGCTGGGGCCACCCCCCCACCCCACCCCAAGGAGGCTCTGCACCGAGGGATATGGTGCAGTGATATGCTTGCATGCCCAGGCTTTGGCCTATAATCCCACCTCCATCAGCGCTGACCTTTCTGAACTTCAGCTTCCCTATCTATAAAATGGGAACTGTAATATTTCCATTGCAGTGGTGCAATGAGGATTAAGTGAGAAAAGGCATGCAGAGAACTTAGGACAGTTTCTGAGATATGACTTAATATATGATGGCTATTCTTGCATGACACACAAAAAAATTGAGCTCCAATAGTATTTCAGACCCCATAAAAGGTACTGGAGTTATGGTGGGGATAAAGAAGGTATGGTACTCTGGCTCATGAAGCCTTAAATCTGGTGGGAGGAGCTGTGAATGACAACACGGACAATAATAATAACAGTATGATTATTTAGAAATGTTAACCAAGATGCTAATCCGGGAGAGAGGGGATGGAGGCTTCCTATAGGGAGGCAAGGAGGGGATGGATGGGAGAGAAACTTGGGAGGAAGAATTGGCTGGGCTGGGAGGCAGATGGAGAGTGGGTGTGGAGGAAGAGGGAGGCGGCTAGGACTCAGCCCAGTTCGTCGCTCTGGCGACAGCGTGATTTCGTTAATAGAGATCAGGAATAAATGGGAAGGAGCAGGTGTTCAGGGGAGCAGGGAAATGAGTTTGATTTGGGATTTCCGGGGGAGATGAGCAGTCATCTCCACATGGAGGCCTAAAGATCAGGGGAGAGTTCCAGGTTGGAGACAAAGGTTTGAAAATCCTTTGTGGAGGCACAGAGCAGAAGTGGACAAGATGCCCCAGGACGGGCAGGTAGAGCCAATTACACATGGGAGGAAACCTTGAAGTTTATAAATCTTGCTTAGCAGATCTTGGATCTCATCACTATTTAGCTGTGGAAGCTTCAGAGAGTCTGAACTCTCTGAATCTCACTTATCCTATTGCAGAACGGGGAGAGGAGAACCCCTGCACACACACTGGCTGCCTTGTGGGCAGTGAGAAGCCTCAGAATTGTGAACACTGGGGACGTTGGTGACCTCGGGGTCTGGGCTGAGCTCAGCTGCTGTGGTACTTGACCTGGAAGCCACGCCTCTGCCCCAAGGCAGGGTCAGGCACCCCCCACCCCAGCAGGCTGGGTCAAGGCCTCGGCCTCTGGCAGGAGCAGTGCCAGAGAGTCTGGTAAGCCAGAGGAAAGATAAGCACATTACCAGACTCCGGGGCAAATCAGCGCCAACCAGGAGAAGGCAAACAAGCGTCGCTGTCAGGAAGATAACAGACACCTGTTACAGCAGCCTCAGTGGCCGGGGAATCAGAACAAAGAAGCCAACTTTCTGCTTGGAGAAGAATGGGTGCTCACGATATTAAACACCTATTCCATGCTGGGTTATTCACTTAGGTTGTCGAAAGAAATCCTCAGAACGACCCTATGAGAGAGGTACCATTATTATTATCCCATTTCAGAGGTGAGGCAACTGAAGATCAGAGAGGCCAAGTGACTTCTGGCCTGTCACACAGCTAGTAACCATAGGGCCAGGCTCCAAATCCAGCCCTGACACCGTGACCGTGCTGGTGGACACAGAGATGTAGAAGAGATGGCTCCAAGGCCACACTCCTCTCCAAATTCTTTCTCACTCACCAGCCACTGCCACATTTCTGCCATTAGCGTTTCAAAGAACCTTAGAATCTCACGAAGATCCAGTAGAATTCTGAAAAGATTACTGGCTTTGTGACCGTGGGCAGGTGCCTTCTGCACTCTGGAGTCACTTTGCCCGAAGGCATCCCAGCAGGCTTGAGCCAGATGATGCTGGACGGTCCATTGAACCCCTGGCGTGGCACAGTGCCACGATTCTAAGCATTTGGAGCCCCTCACCACGCTGCCCCGCCCCTGCCACCTACCCCACCATCGAGCCAGATGGCAGGAGGCAGGAGTGGGCATGGGGGGGGCAGGGCTCCCTCTGACGCCCCACGGGGCCTCACCTCACCCTATGCCTGCTTCTGTTTTGCTGTATTTGACGGTGGCCACGGTTTCCAGGAAAGAAGAGAGAGGCGGAAAAGTTAACTTTCCGCCACCCACACAAATATTTTTGGCCGGCGTTGTCTTCACACTGCCAAGCCGGGAGGGAGGATTTGGCAGGAACTCTCCAATTCAAGTCTCCCTCCCAAGGAGGGAGGACTCCCCACCCAGCTGGGGGGCTGGGGCAGGCCCCATGTGGGCTCCAGCCCTGGAACACCCACCCTGCTCTGCAGCCCGGGGCAGGCACGGGGGTGTCAGGACCCACTGCAATAGTGACGGCCGCCGCTCACTGAGCCTCTGCCAGTGCTCGGCCAAGGCTTTTACCTGACACTCCAGTGGGCCGGCCACGTGAGTGCTGTGCCCAGACGAGGAAACTGAGGCACAGAGAGGTAAATCCTGCCTGAGTCACAGGGTGGTGAGTGGTAGGGCAGGTGGTGGATCGAGCTGCTGGGCCCTGTGCTCTTACTCACATTCTCAGTGGCAGCAGGCTGACTCCCAGGACCCCACACAGCCATGGAGGGTGTGGGCTCAGACTCAGCTCACCCATCTGTGTGGGCACAGCCTCGCTCTGGGCAGGAGAGAGCCTGCTCCAGCCTCAGCACAGATGGCAGAGGGGTCCTCTAACGCCATCTTCCCCAAATCCACATCACTCCTCTGACCACAGGCCAAAGCTTGTAAGACATCCAGCCTCAGCAAACTTCCTGTGCTCATCTCAGGTCAGGGGGCCCTGAGCCCAGAACAGGGAAGGGCTCGCCCGGGTTGCACAGAATGTCAGGCATAGGCCTGGCACCAGAGCCCAGACACCCAAATTCCTTCAGCCAGTCCCTCACATAAGCCCTGCTCCCTCCTGAGCTGGGAGCCTCCCCTCCTCCCTCCTCTGACCTCCTGTGAGTCCAAGCAGGGCCCCCAGGACCAGAGGCCCCTGTCCGTGCAGCCCTGAGGGTCCTCCGAGGTCTCCCAGGGCTCCTTCTGTGGTTGGCTGCTGCAAAGAGTGGGCCCAGGGAATGTGGCCTTGGGAGACTCACATCCTTTCTGCTGTTTCCTACATGGTGAAGGAGGGACACTGGCTTTGGAATCAGATCTGGGTTCAAATTCTGACTTTCCCATTCAGTGGGAAAGACCCACTGCAGACCCAGGCAGGTCTCTTTATCTCCGTAAGCTTTGGTTTCCTCATCTAGAAAATGGGTTAAAACAGGGCCTGCTTCACAGGGTTGTCATGGGGATTCACTGAAAAGTACAGGCTGGTTCCTCCACTCGGCAGGGAATGAGGGAGCAGGGCTGCTTGCTGCGCACCTGCTGGACCCTGGGAGGCCTGGCACACAGGCTGGGGGAGCGCAAAGCACAGTCTGGCCTCCCCTGCTTCTTCATCGTCCACAGCGCCCCCAGCCTGCTTTGAGGCTGCAGAGGAAGTAAAGGGCCTGAGGGATGCTGGGGATCAGGGCCTGGGGAGGTGCACTGCAGAGTCAGGCGTGGGGTCCTAGTTTTCACTTTCCCACCGACTTACTGAGCCAGTACCGGGGAAATCACAGGTTCTGATTTTACAGCAGGGAGACTAGAGTAGGCAGAGAGGGGAAAAACAGCTGGGAAGATTAGACCCTCATTCCTCTGAAGACTCCATATCTGGCCTCCCCACCTGCAATCTCTCTCTGTCTCCATCCTCTCCGAGGTCTGGTCCATTCTTCTCAAGAGCAGCTCTGAGTGTGTTACTCACCTGCTCAGGAACCCTCCACAGCTCCCCATTGTGCAGAGAGTAAAGAACAGCTACAAACAAAAGGAAATTCAGAGCCAAAGGCAGGTCTCCTGGCTGAGGGGAAGGAGGGAGGGCTTCCTGGAGATGATGGATGATGTTTCAGATTTGAAGGATTTTGACAGGAAGTGCTTGACATTCTGATGAATAGAGGGTACTCCATCCATCAAGGCCCAGTGAAGGCAAGAAGGCAGGACCACTTGGAGATGAATCCGGAGAACCACAAGGCCCTGGAGAGGCTGAGGCTGGGGCACGTGTGGCAGGGCAGAGGGAGGTGAGGCCGGGAGAGAAGGTGGCCAGACTGTGACAGGCTTCAGTTGCCTGGACTCTCTTCTGCTGGCTTGAGAGGTGATGTGGAGGGTAGCCCTGCAGAGCTGAGGGGGCCACTGCAAGGCCCGGCTCTGGGGGTGGAGGCAGCAAGGCTAATGCAGAAGGTGGAGGCTGAAATGGGGGCCGACGTGCAGGCATCCCTGTGAGAGGAGCGTTTTGGAGCCATTTCCCCAGCACCTGGCACAGTGTCAGGCACATAATAACAACGGCAGTGAGGATGGCTGAAGTTTATGAAGTGTTTACTGCGTCAGGTGTTACTCCAGGCACTTAGTGTGCATTAACTCATTTCATCCTCATCACAACCCTGGAAGGAAGAGGCTATTATTATCCTCATTTTACAG